TATATTTAAAATAAAAAGTTTATATTATATTCATGCAAAAATTTATTAATTATTTAATGATGAATGACTCTTTAGATCTAGAATTTTAATGAAAAAACATTGAAATCATTTTATCGAAAATATAATGTAACTAATTTCATTTTATTCATGTCATGTATGAGAATCGAGCAAAATGAGAAGAAAAAAGAGAGAGATCTTTTTTTAATTTATACTTTTTTCTGCCATATAACTTCTGAATTTTCTATAGATTGAAACAAAAGTTGCAAATCCAATAAATCAGGCATCTGCCACGTAAAATCAATACATGTTGGAAAGTCCAACTGTTAACGTAAGCATGAAAAATGTTCGAAGAATTGAGATGGTTAATCTTTACACAAGTAACCTAGATAATATGACGGAAGTAAATTTGGCGAAGCAAGAGAGATTGTGGATTTTATGGTAAAGTTTATCAAAGTAAAGTTATGAACAATCTTGGCCAAAAGTATGGAGTACCTTCGCTAAGCTGTACTAACTCAAACTAGTTAATGTCCGTAAATTAAAAGCGGCAACAAATTTTCGAGCTACTTTAATGCTCTAGTATTTGTTATAACTCTATCTTAAACATTACCTCGGATCTCTTGTAATTTGCGATTGTCAATCAATTTATCACAAATTATTAATTTTTAATCGAGATAAATTGTTATTGTGATCTAAATATTTAAATAAAATTATTCACGTTGTTACTTTTCTTTCCTTATCCTCCGTTTGCGCTTTCTCCTTTTATCGGAGATATCCGACGAATTGGAATTGAATCTAACAATCTGATTGGGTGCCATCGACCGTATGAGACAAAATGTGTGCGGGCTCCAGTGATGTGCGTAATACATCTTGAGACGAGGGCTTTAAAGCCCTCACGAGTGATAACATTTAAGTAAATCGCGCCGAAGCAATATCTTCGAGATTTTTGAAAGATGCGTGTCTCGCTCTTTTATAAAGGATCTCCGTCTCTCATCGCTCATCTTTGAAATTTAATATACTACTGCCAATCACATACACATTCTCTGTCATTGCAAAAATTGAAATTGATTTTTTGTCCTATTTATTTGCCATATTCTTGATTTTGCGCAAAGTGAGATATATAAAGAAAATTATTTCGAGGATTGAAATATTTTTCGGTGGCTCTCTACGATTTCTCGATGTACGAAAAATTTAGATATACATATATACAGAAATATGAAAATTATTAGACTATAACTCAATTTTTTTTAGATTACATTTATTTTTTAGAATAATTTACAAAAAAATTAAGGAACTCAATTTTTTCCACTTTAATCTAATAACTTTTACCTCTGTGAGAGAAATTCCTTTTTTTTTTACTATTTTCTACAACAATTTTGTTTCAAATGTTTCTTTTTTTTTGCTTTATTTTATTTGTTTGTTTTGCATTGAATCTCGGTATTAATAAATCATGATTCGCGGAAATCACATTATATTATATTGATACACCGTGCGTAATGCGATTATAAACGCGATCATACATTTTAAGATGTCAATTTAATTTATTACTACTCTTTTGATACAGCGTATTGTAATAAATATAAACTGTTCTCGTTAAGCGCGATTTTATCAGCTTGTCGTTGTAAAATGAAACGTTGATTGCTCTCGTATAAATGAAAGGTGTACCCTTATTAAATCATCGTCCCGCAATATAAACCCGTTGAAGTAACAGCAAGTTCAAAGCTTAAGTAGCATGACTGGGTAAGAATGTGACGTTTCTCCGAGCGAAAAGGGTCTCGGGACGATTTATCTTAGTTTAGCGTGACAAATTTTTCGGGTCTATGAACATGGTATGTACAAAGATGGATTTAATACGGCTTTTCTCCTCTTCTTATCTCCCTCGTCCGTTCTCTCGCTAGCCTCCCTATACTCGGTATTTCTCATCTACCAAAGCATTTCGCGAATTGAAATTGAATCTGACGATCAAATTGAGCCCCATCGAGCGTGCGAATTAGAACGTGTCCAGGGGAAAAAAAAAACAGTGTGAAACTTTTACGAGATTTAGTTCTTAAACAAATTATCAAGATTTACAACTAATTGCCTCGCGAATGACGTGAAATATTACAGATGATATAAACTTCGTGTAAATATATATTTTCCATTAAATCAAATTCTTTGAAAAATTCAAGAGCAATTTAATTTGTTGAGCGAATTAATTTTCCACGTCATTATTGCGTAAGAGAAAATATTGGAGAAAAGCAGGGCTACTTAAAAAAAAAAAAA